TGGCTCTCGCCTCGTCAAATCACCCGCCGTTGTCGCCAACCGCTCTCTACCTCCAACTCTATTAGTAGCGGTGGTCGAATCCTCCACAAACTGATGAGCGCCTAGGGATTCCGAGATGGAGTCTGCCGGCATTGTCTCCACACCGAGTACAGCACTCGGCTGCTCACTAGTTTGGCTTGAAGGATTCAGATCCTTAGCACGCCTCGTTCTGCATCAGATTGGCTCACCGATCACCGCAAATATAAAAATCGGATAGCTATCGATTCCAAAGCAAAGATACTTACACATCAGCTTCTCGATAAATGGTTCTGAACCAGCGCTGCCTCCTCAAGCACCCAGGCACTATTCTGGGGTCAGCCCATGTGTCCTAGGCTAGAGGTCTTGCGGCCCCCGCCGTCGATGTCTCCTCCGCCTGCTGCTCGGGGACTCCTTCCCCTCCCTTTGATTGCACCTCCACGTGCGTGTTGCGCGATGATGCTTGAGTGCTCAGAGGGGGAGGTACTGGAGCCCTATTGTCATCTGACAACTTAGACATCGCCACACTCTGCGTCCGAGTGGCTCGACCGCCACTAAGTGAGATGCCGCCCGACTTGCGGGGAGTTATATCCCCTGTTTTTCTCTTCTTTCGGACCATCTCATCTTTCACCGCCCTTTTCCCTAGAACTTTCTCTGATACCAAGGGGACTCTCGTTCGCCTTTGGATTCAGACACAACACTGACGGCACCTTCCTTCGGCTGAGTGGTTGGCCTGACGTCCACTGCCTTTGGCCAATAGTTCCACGGCACGCCCGAGAAGTACGCCGCCCATTCCTACAAATTGATCTTTCCACAAGCGAATCAGTCCAGTGCTGGCGTCGACACTAAATAAAAAGCACCAGGAATAACAATCAAGATTTTTACCTAAGGAGGGGGGTTTGTGCAGTTGAAGGTTTTCGGCTATGCCTTAGCACGCTGTACGGCAAGTTTGGAGCGAATAGTTTAGCGGCCTAGTGTAGCATAGCCTCCTTCATCAGTCTCTCCATCTCTCTCCGGTGCCGTTAGTATCTCCCTTGAAGTCAAAGCCCTCTCCTTGTAGGGCTGGATGGCGCATTATGAAGTTCACCACCACCACCTCCGTTCATCTTCATGCCCCTCATTAGCTCGAGGAGCTCCTTCACCTGCTCCATATCAGCACTGGTCGGCTTCTCCGACCAGCTCCTCTGATTCTCCAAAACTGGTCGACGTCACATCGGATGACAGGATGACTCTGCTTCATATAAAACCACTTGACATTCCACCCCTTCAGCGAGGTATTTAGCGGCACAGTAATGTATTCACCCACCATCCCATCATGGAGCTACAGATACACACCACCGACAACCGTGGAACCGCCCCCTCCTTTCTTCTTCAGCCAGAAAAGGTGTCAAAAGAGATTGAAATGGGGAAGAATGCCAAGATACACCTCGAAGAAATGGATAAACACAGAAATGTGCAAAATAGTGTTCAGATGAAGATTGCACAAGCTTACTCCCAAATACTCCAATAGATCCAGCAAGAAAGGATGTACCGGAAGCCCTAATCCACGCAAGAAATAATCTTTAAATACGACAAGTTCGTCGGTGTGTGGCATTGGATAGGGCTCACCGTCGGCCGGACGCCATCCGATGGTGACACAATCAGGACAAACACCCGCCTCCACCATGTCATTGAGCTCCGTCTCCCCCATGAGTGACGGTACCCATTCCTTGTCACGGCTCACCCTGGTAGCCGCCTTCTTCGTGTTACCACCTCCCCTCTTCGACTCAATCCCTCAGATCTGGATCGAAACTGGCCTCTTTACGCAAGCATTTTTTCTATAGCGGTGGAGTGCGTGTGAATGCGAATGGGGGAGCACGAGGGCAAGGAGGAAGACGAAGTGGCGGAGTGGCAAAGGTGGGAGTATGGAGTGCGGTGATGCAGTTATAAAGACACCCAATCTTTTTGCATTCAAGGGTTTTTGGAAAACCGCACCATACCGATTTACGCCCTTCGGAATTCCCCAAAGCGGCGTGGTGGGCTGTTATCTGGGCTTCCGCGCAACTGCGGCCCATATCACCTATTCTCTGACGCAACTTGGTACTACACATCGAATATTCACCAACTTCTCTGCAATACCATCAAGGCTCAGTAATTTCTACTGTACAGTCATTACTCCGGTTTTTTTCTCCATGATTTGAGTAATCGGCACTTCTCGATTTATCTGAGATTTTCACTTGTGGCTCGGGGACTATGTCATCATTATGACTTGGTTTCTTACCACACTGGGGACTTTTTCTGGTTACTATTGTTTTTGGCCCTGGCACTATGTGACCACATCACCTACTGTCTGGCTCGGAGACTAAGTGGGCACACTTCACCTTGCGGTGAATGTGCGCTTTTCATTTCAGGGATCCGCCCGTGGACTGGTTGACTGCTCGGCTGGTTTTATGCCTTTCTTGTACTTTCCGGACCTTGGCACCACGTGACCACGTCACCTACTGTCAGGCTCGGGGACTAAGTGGGCACTCTTCACATTGTGGTGAGTGTGTTTTCTTTAATCTAGAAGACTCCGTGCCACCTGAAGTTGAATAAGATTATCTCCCTTTCTTGTGGTGGGACTCTAAGTGGGCACACTTGGTCCACGGCGAGGAAATTTTTGATTTTGCACTTGAGCTCCTTACATCCTTTTGGCAAGCCTTACTTGAGTAAGTCCATGCTCGGTCGGACAGTTGAGCTAGTTGGTTATAGTCCACAACTGTTCGACAACTCATTATGGTGGTCGGACCATGAGTATGACTGCTTGGCTTTGTTTACACCTGCTCGGACAAGCTCAAGATAGCGGTGTTGCACAGCGGATACAAGGCGCTCGGGGACTAGTTGTGGGGGGTACGACCGTGATACCCATGGCAGACTACATGGGCTGCGCTCCCAGAGGCGGTCCAGCCCATAAGATGAAGACCTACGGTGTACGACACTGTTCGGCGTGGACCGCAAGGCATCAAGGGCGATATCCTAAAGATACTATGAGATATGTTAGGATATATTCGATCCCATGATTCCTGTAATCTGTTATTACTTACCAGTTATCTCCTAGATCTAACTGACTTGTAACCCTACCCCTACTATATAAGGCGGGTAGGGGACCCCTTAAAACACACGTAATATTATACAATAGCCAATACAAACCAACATACCACAGGAGTCGAGTATTACGTCGTGCTGACGGCCTAAACAAGTCTAACTCTTGTGTCTCTATTGCCTTCTTGTTCTGGATTATGCGCATCTCTACCAATCAATCTACCTTTTGTGGGATACCCCTCGGAGGACTGCCGACGATATTCTGTCGATAGTACTCCGTGAGGTGTCGGAGGTCGGTGAAGCCACCAGACGCGCCGACGTGGCTAGGGTCGGAGAGATAGGCACGGGCGTTGGCGACGATGTTGGAAACGGGGTCGTTGAGCTTGCCGTAGCAGTGGCCCGAGTGGAGAACGGCCTCGAGGGATGCCTCCTCAACGTGGCCGAGGTCGGCGAGGCGGGCTGTGGCCGCCACAGACGCCTCATCCAGCCTCTTGAGGCAAAGCGCTCCTCAAGCTCGTCCGCCGTGGCGCGGAGCCATGGAGCCGCAGCCTCTCCGGTGGCCGGATCGGGATCGAGGCGGGCGGGCGCGCTGGTGCGCGGGCCTCATGGGCGGAGCGAGCGGCCCTTCCGGGACGAGCGACTCTCAGGCCACAGGGGTTGTCCCGCCATCGAGGCAAGTCTGAGGCGGCGGGGGTGATGGTAATAGGGTTTGGACGATGGATCGTCGGTGCGGGTGGGCTGTGATGGGGTGTGGCGGCGCGGAGACCACGTCGATGTGTGCAAGTGCGAGGAAAATGGGGAAATGGCGAGAGGTAAGGTAATGGAAGCGAGGAACATGAAGACAGGAAGGGGGACGAAGGCCTTGCTGTTGGGCTCGATTGGGCTCTTTGTCTTGGGCTTTAGGGCTTCAAGGTGGATAACTTAGGGCTTGGGCCTGTTTGGGACTACTCTTCTCTATGTTTTTGAAGAAAAAAATGTAGTTCGGCAAACTTTGCTATAGGAGAAACTCTAATTTTTGTGGAGCTGCTATACAGTAGAGTTTGTAGAGCGGAGTAGTTGTAGCTTTGATTATAACTCATCATACCAGAAAGATATAATTTTTTTCAGGCGACAAGTTTGGTATGGAATTAATATGATATTAAAACTTTATAGTATTTTTTAACATCTTACCGATCTCAAATAAAAATCTTAAAACTAGAAAGTTGTAGATCATACGGAACGCTACAATTTTCATATAGAAAGTATTTTTATTCGACAACATATAAAAAAGATATCATTTTCTAAATCGACAAGCTTGTTAAACGATTAATATGTTGCTGAAATTTTATATTATTTTTATCATCTTAACGACCTAAAATGACAAAACTCAAAACTAGAGAATTATAGATCTCGTCGAGGACTACAATTTTCATATAAGAATGATCTTCACCCAATGTCATATGAAAAAGACATGATTTTTCAAAAATTCAGCCTTATCATTGACATGTGGGTCCCATCTATGAGAACATGTAAGCGCTGAGTCTGCATGCCATGTCAGCTATCGGGTGGGTTAAACACCAGTTTGGACATGTATGAGACTCGAACTAACTTGAGGGACCTAGATATATGCATTTTGAGACTTTGGGGAACACCTGCGGAACCTCAGGGACTTGCGGTAAATTTCACTCTTATCAAATCTACGCGGCCGTTAGATTCTCTTCACTGACAACCTGACCCCATGGTCATGCCCAACATGTCAGTGAGTAACAAAGAGGCCAAAAAGTCCAACGCGTAGGTCTCAGATGAGAAAGCTCGCAATATAGAATTTCCCGCTAAGAGGCGAGCAGAAGAGACTGCGGGTCGCCGGAGAGGAGAGGTGGGGAATAGGGGACTAGGAATGGCCATCAAGCTCAGCTGAGCTCACGCGTCACGCCCTCTTTGATTCCATGGAGAGACCGGAGCTGGGAGAGCCAGCTTGCAGGATGGATCAGCAGCAGGAGCGTGACCGGCGGCGGACGCTGCTGCTGGTGAACCTGGCGTCCATCATGGAGCGCGCCGACGAGGCCCTGCTCCCCGCGGTGTACCGGGAGGTGGGCGCCGCGCTGCACGCCAGCCCCGCAGGGCTCGGCGCCCTCTCGTTGTGCCGCTCCATCGTCCAGGCCGCCTGCTACCCGCTCGCCGCCTACGCCGCCGCGCGTCACAACCGCGCCCACGTCATCGCCGTCGGGGCCTTCCTCTGGGCCGCCGCCACCTTCCTCGTCGGAGTCTCCGACACCTTCCTACAGGTCTGTGTCCGATGGCAGCTGCTATTCCATGCTTATGGGCTTTGTACTTTGTGCAGTTGGATTGTGAAAACGCTCTTGTATAGATTGGGATCTGGCACAAGCACAACTATATTTGACTTCAAATCTTGATCTGTCAAAGCTTAATGGACACTGAAAATCGATCGATCGCATGTCAGGTAGCAATCTCACGAGGCCTGAACGGCATCGGCCTAGCTCTGGTTGTGCCATCGATCCAGTCCCTGGTTGCCGACTCCACCGACGACGGCACGCGCGGGTCGGCGTTCGGGTGGCTGCAGCTCGCCAGCAGCCTGGGCCTCATCTCCGGTGGCTTCGTCGGCCTGCTGCTGGCGCAGACCACGGTCCTCGGGATCGACGGCTGGCGCGTCGCCTTCCACCTCGTGGCCGCCATCAGCGTCGCCGTCGGGATCCTCAACTGGTTCCTCGCCGTTGACCCCCATTTCCCGAGGCGCGACGGCAAGCAGGCCACGACGGCGCGGGGGGTCGTCGCGGAGATGATGGAGGAGGCCAAGTTCGTGGTGCGGATCCCCACGTTCCAGATCTTCGTGGCTCAGGGGGTCAGCGGCTCGTTCCCGTGGTCGGCGCTCTCGTTCGCGTCCATGTGGCTGGAGCTCAAAGGCTTTAGCCACAGCGACACCGCCGTGCTCATGACCATCTTCTGGGTGGCCAGCTCCCTCGGCGGCCTCCTCGGGGGCAAGATGGGCGACCTCCTCGCCGTGCGGTACCCCGATGCCGGCAGGATCGTCCTCTCCCAGATCAGTCCCCTCTCGGCGGTGCCCTTGGCGGCCGTGCTGCTGCTGGGCCTCCCCGACGACCCGCCCAAGGGCGTCTCCTACGGCGCTGTCCTGTTCATCATGGGCGTCTTCATGTCCTGGAACGGTCCAGCCACAAACTTGTAAGCCATCCATCATCCTCTGCTGCGATTCAGCTGCTCACTGTTCAATTTTGAGTTGAATTTCTGAACGGAGATTTGAAACAAAATTTCATTGCTTTTCTAGTGACTAGTGTTTTGCTCATCTTGCAGCCCAATATTTGCGGAGATCGTCCCGGAGAAGTCAAGAACAAGCATCTACGCCCTGGACAGATCCTTCGAGTCAGTGCTATCATCGTTTGCTCCTCCGATCGTCGGCCTGCTGGCTGAGCGAGTGTACGGGTACAGGCCGAACGACAAGGGGGAGAGCGTCGAGCAGGACCGGGGGAACGCCGCGTCCCTAGCCAAGGCGCTGTACACGTCCATAGCGATACCGTTCATAGTCTGCACCGCCATATACTCGTTCCTGTACTGCAGCTACCCCAGGGACAGGGAGCGCGCGCGCATGCAGTCTCTCATCGAGTTGGAGCTCCAGCAGATGGAGCACGAGCACGAGAGCTCCTGTCTGGAGCTGGAAGACGGCGGCGATGGTGTGCCCAAGGTTTTCGGCTCGGCGAACGACGATGGCGAAAGGGCTACCATTGGCGTGACCTATGACCACAAGGAGGATCCTGAAGCTGAGAAGGATACTGTCAGCCTGTTGGCAAACCGGGAGTCGTGATAGGAAGTCGAATGGTGTATTGTAACTTAGAGATTGTTAGATGGATGTTTCAGAGTGAATCTGGCAATGCCCATGCCTGACAAGGCTTTTAAAATTCAGGGGAAATTGTAACACCGAGAGGTATTTGTTGGAACGAGTTTCTAGTGGCCGTCGCTGGAAAGTCTGAAGAGTACAACATTTTGAAGTTGTTTGTTGGGACAGGAAAAAATAGTACAGTACAGACAAGAGTTCAGATTGATGATGGATTCATGATGCAAATGGTAGCGAAGTCAGCGTCTTGCTTGCACTGGGAAACTGATCTGTACTTGGTCACTTGCAGGCTCTGGGGCTGCTAGTATCAACAATAACTTAAATCTCAACTAGTCTTGTGCTCCCGATCTCAAGGGGATGAAATCAACATTTAGCATGATCATGTCATGTGTTGCCTCGTACCGAGAGTACTGAATAATATAAGAAATACTGTAAGATACAAACTACTTTGCATAAAAATAGCCCTTTAGCTACGCCGTCGGCATTCACGAGAGGACCATCACACTGTCTGTTCCAAATGTAATTTAACACCTAATTTTTATAAGACAGAAAAGCGCCAAGCAGGATTATAAGAGTGCCCTTTAGCAACATAGACACGTACGTTACTAGTTTCCTTTCGGGAAGATGGCTGCTAAGGGAGTGCCATCCTGTGGTTAAGCTATAGTTGTCCATCGGGCCGGCCCGGTCCGGCACGGCATGGGCACGGGCCAGGCATGGCCCGCAGGGGGTCGGGCCAGCACGGCACACCGTGCCTCCACGGGCCTCGTGCCTGGCCTTCGGCCCAAGCACGGCATCATGGACCGAAAATCGTGCCGTGCCGGTCCGCTAAGCACAGCCAAATCACCGTGCCGTGCTAGCCCTTGGCCCGGTGACCTTAACACACATCAAAATGTTGCTCCCATCACACTCTTCTTAATTTTCATAGTTGCACAGATTCATTCACACTCATTCACAGGCCATTAGTCAAACTCATTCGCAATCACAAATATAGCATTCCAAACTTATCATAGATTCTAAGTTATAACTTCTAACCAAAAGCACCAAAGCAGACAAGACAATTAACATAAATGAGCTGTTTGTGCAACGTTGTCTCATTAAAAACCTTTATAGGTAAAATTCACCCTTGTGAGAAACCCTAGAAAGAAAAAAAGAGTGTAGCACAACTCTTAATTAAGTCTTCCATTATTGTTCAAATGTCTCAGATACAGATAGCAGATCACTCTCAAGTCTCAAGTCTCACACAGACACTAAGTACCAGCAAAAGCCACAGATGTAGATGCAGATGTGCCAGCCCCAGATGTGCCAGCAGAAGCAGCCCCAGATGCATCTTCATCAAGATAGAGATTTTCGAAGGAGTCTTCCAACTTTTGGTTGTCAACAGCATGCTGCAACCTTTTTTTTCCTAACTCACAATCCTTTATGCAAGCCAGCATCTCCACCGTTTCAGGCAACAAGCGTCGCCGTTGCTCTTCAATTATCCTTCCCGTCAACCTAAAACATGATTCTGAAGAGACAGTAGAAACAGGAATAGACATAATATTTCTAGCCATTATAGAAAGTACTGAAAAGGTTAGTTTGTGGTCACGCCACCAGAGAAGTAAATCAAAGTCATCCTTATATGCAGTGACATTGTCACTGTCCAGATAAGCTGAGAGGTCACAAGCAGCAGCAGAAGCAGATAGAGATGGAGTGGGGGCAGAGGCAGGAGAAGGACCAACAACACCAGATGATCTAGGGCCACCAAAGATTCTTCCCCATCCCTGTTTTTTACCTGTATGGTTTGTAGGCTGTGCAGCCCTTTGAGACCTAGCTGCACCAAACTTTCTCTCATATTTGTTAAACAATTTGTAAATTTTAGTTTTCACATCAGCATAATAAGAACTATAGGCACAACCAGTGTTCTCTTTAAGTATTTGAAGAACATTAAATAAACCTCTCAACTTAGCTTTAGGATCAAGAATGAATGCAAATGAATATAACAGAGATATATCCTGTCAGTATTTAAGGAATTTAAGCTTCATAGGATATACAACACCTATTAGATTTTGATCTTTTTCACTTGCATGCAAATGAGAAGCAATGTCTAGCAGATGGTGCAGAATAAGTGAACTAGTTGGATAGTAAACACCAGAAAGAACAACAGTGAATTCATAAAAAATTTCCAAGAACTTTAATATCTTTTCAGCAATATACCAATGCCTTGTAGTTAACAATGTTGACCCATAATTGGCATTAATGAATATAGAAAAAACATTCTTATATGGAAGCAAGTGTTTAAGCATAAGGTATGTAGCATTCCATCTAACATCCATATATAAGCCAAACTTTCTAGGTCTAACACCCTCAGCAGTGTAGTAGTTCTTGAACATATCAATTCTTTGATTAGAAGAATTTAAGAAGTTAATAGCAGTTCTGTTTACACCAAAATTTGGAAGAAGGGTCTCAGGGGCTAGAGCTCCCAAAGTCATGTCAGCAAGGGATCAATTGCGTGCAGATCAAAACCAGCTGATTCGGATGCAACACTAGAATCAGCTTTCTTTAGATAGCGCCGCAGATAACGACAGAGGCTACGATCGGCGTTGGGATGAGACATGCTGGACTCTACAAAAAGGGAAAGATTAGAGTCCAAGTTATCTTAAATTAGGAATGTTTTCATTTATGCCAAAGATTGTAACGAATCGTGCTCGAGTAGGATTCATGTTTAGACTCCGGGTATAAATATCAAACCCCGGCTATTATAAAGAGAACCAATCAATCAAAAATAAGTCAATTACTTTTTTCGGCTCCGGCCACCCCTTAGAAGTAGGAGTAGAGTAGATCTCAGCAAGTTCTTCAGCAAGTACGGCTGCATCGATCCGGTCAACCTCCACTGCTTGTTGTAAGTACTGTCATGGCTATACCTCTGTTCGTACGGCTGCAATGATCCGGTTGACCTCCACTACGACTCTGGTATAAGTTAGTTATCGATTCTTGTCTAGTTTAAGTATGGCTGCATCGATCCGGTCGACCCCCACTGCATGAATTAGATCAAGGTCAAGTTATCGACTCTACCTTAGAATGACAGTTTTTGGTAGATTCATTAAGTTACCGATATTGCTTATTGCTTTCATTGTTTATCTAATTACAGCAATATCACTCTGCCCGATTGAAATTGATTTGGATCGGCCTTATATCTTATTTAACCCATCATTTGCTAATCTAGAACTGACCTAATCTACACTCTAAACGATGAGTTATGTTTTTATCGGCTATTTTATATCAATCTTAATCGTGCATAACGTGCGGTTAAGGCATGTTGAGTCTTGAGTAGATCTATTGGCTAGCGAAAACCATTCCATGGCCCGTTATCATGGCCTGTGTGATTCTGCCTCACACCCCACGGTTAGCACCGTAGAGTGGGGATCGTTATTTAGTAGATCTATTCCTGGTAAGGCATGACCCTAACTGTGTGCTATGCCTAAATCGGCTGTTTTAGCCGATATCAAGTGCTTTCACGAACAGCTCGCATCACGAGACTGTTGAAGTAAAGATAGGTTAAAAGATGTGTTAGCCTCATGATCTTATTATTGTATTACGGCCTGCATGATTCTACCTCATGCCCCACTGATATTAGTAATGAGTTAGGGTCGTCAAGTCTATTATTATTTCTACGACCTACATGATTCTGCCTCATGCCCCACTAGTCATAGCGATAGATGAGATCTAACATGTTCATTAGATTTATCTTTATTAAACGGTTAAATGGTGTTGAATTGTTTCTTTATATAAAAAAGGGTTCGGTTACTTATAATCATTGACTCAGCATAAACCGATCATTGTTGATATCTTATTGCCATTGATTAATATTTGTTTAAATAACAACATTTACCCTGAATGATAACCGATTCTTCTTATACAACCCAATGAGCTTTAACCGATTTATTCTCATGAATATGCTAGAATTGACTATTTAGTCGATCTCCTTTCATATCGGCTCTCATAGCCGCACATTTGGGACTGTCTGGCAACACCGGCAAGTTCCGCCCTTAATTACTGATAAACTTTCTCTCCTTGTCAATTGCAGAGTCAAATTGACTGGCACGTCTCGGGAGGATTATGCAGGATCGACCATCCCTGTGCTGAGGCTAGGCGGATCTGCTCCATCGAGCGGACCCTTCCGGCTTGCTGCGTGTGTCCTCGGCGCGGGATGAAAATTCTGTGTCGACACACGTTTCTGGCACGCTCGGTGGGACCCCACAATCGTCATGGCGGCTCACAGCAATGACGACATCCTTATGGTACATTATGAAGATTTACCAGATAGAGATAAAGATATCATCAGCAAAGCTATAGAAGAATTTCAGAATAAGTGTTTGTTGTCCTACACCAAAACACGTGACAACACAATTGTTCAGAAATTTCCACTACCAAGAGTTCTACTACACGGACAGACAGATATAGTCGAAGCTAAAGACAGACGTTTCTTTACGGAAGTCATAGACAAATCTGTTCGTGATGCCATATCAAGCCGTAATGAAGCCTTTGTAGACGACTTTCAAAATGCCATGAAAAGGCGATTAATGGGATTCTAGTTGGTCAGGTTGGGTCGACTTGTTACAATATTTCTGATCCTTCAACCCAAGGGACTAATCAAGTCGGTACCAGCCATTAAGAAGTAGCACCAGCTGGTAATGGTGATGTCCAGACAATTCAAGGTTCATCTGAACAAGCTCAAGGTACTACTGCAAATCAGACACAGTATAATCCTAGACCATCAGTACAGCATGTGCAACAGCCGGCGGGGCAAAGTCAGAACCAGGTGATCAATTTTGGCACATCAAGCCACATACCGTTATCGGCTCAAAAAATAGCACCATCAACTCAAAGGATCCGGAGAGATATAGATCCTTATGTCTATAATCAGAGACTTCAAGCAGTAAGCTAGCAGAGGACTCAACAAATCAAGATTCCACAAGGGTATCACTATGGCA